TCCAGAATGACAAGATCAAAATCTTGGCCTAGGGGCACCTAAACTTTAAATCCATCAAATGCAAATGTGCAAGACTCCTAGTTACATGTATGCTCTGGTGAGGAGCTACTTTCAGGACTGACAGATGAAAATACAGTGTGGCTACTATACTTTTGAGAGGTACTGTGTCCACAGTACAGTCAGAGGTTCTTATAAAATTGACTTACTGTGACTGATGATTTTAGTAGTGGGAGGAGGAGAGGAACTAGTCAACCCAACCCCTGATGGCTACTTCGAGGTTGCCGCTGCATACTTTCCAGATTGGGAATGTCAAGATACATTTCCTGTGGCTGCTGTGAATTGAAAATTAACCAACACAGGTGGGAATCGAAAACACAACGTTCAGAACCAGGCACTCTGAGACCCATATCCCAATGCACTCAGCCATTCCATCCTCATGGAATGAACTTTGATGTTTGGGAAGTTTCTGGGACCTTGTATCTTAAAAATTTATAAGGATATGACATTTAATATTTTGAGATATCATCTACCTGATATTAGTTTTCTCAGCTGCAAATCACTAGGGTGTATAAATCTGTGTCTCTTTAGGTGGTACAAGATGTATGCAATTTGAAAATTATGAGAATATGCTCAGCAGGTACAACTCACTCCAAATACCTATGTGAAGCTCTGAAGAATTGGAAAAAGATTATTCAAGGGGATACTATAGAAAAATGTAACTGGCAATAGTTGGCAACCAAAAGGGACTACCCTGGTTAAGAAGCCAAATGGCCCTGAACTAATGCGCTTCCCACTTCCTCTTAGAGCATAATGACTTCTATTGAATATTCAATAGTTGATTGTTGCATTATAAAGGAAGGAGATAGTCCGGGGTGGCAGTCATAAATAGACTAAATAGTGGTAAAACTATTTTATTAAAAGCCAACGTTTCGACTCGACTTTGCAGATCTTCTTCAAGGCTAGAGCAGACAATATACAAAAAGATAGAGAATTGTGGAAGTTACATAATATTTAGACAAAAAATTATAAACAATGTGAATAAGCTTCTTAAAATTATAAACAGTCCGTTCTAGCCCGGAAGAAGACCTGCAAAGTCGGGTCGAAACATTGGCTTATAATAACTTATAAATATATAATATTTATAAGTAATAGTATAAATAGTTTTACCACCATTTAGCCAATTTATGACCACCACCCCGGACCATCTCCTTCCTTTATAATGAATTCTGTGCTTAGCTCCAGGAAAATGGCATTGCCAATTGCTTACTGCCTTTGAGGAATCAAGAGCTGAGCTGTATAGAGAAACAAGGCTATATGTTCTTACTGAAAAATAGTTCTTACACCTAATAACATCAGACTACTTACTACCTGTTCTGGAAGACCTTTTTATACAGACAGAATTAAAACCAACTCCAATCTAGGAAAAAGAGGACCTGTGCCTAGGAGACCTCCAGGAGACTATGACAATATCAACTTTGAATAACCAGAAATTAAAGTGTACAACATTAAATTTTATGTTTATTGCTAGCAGGGATGACATGCATTTTGTTTGTATCATATACCTCCACAGTTGAACCCATTTAGCCATTTTAGCAAGGATGAGTGTTATAAATTAATAAAGTGTAGTATGATAGTACAAAAATGTGAACATTTCATAAAAATGTCACAAAATTTTATCATGTTTGTAACAGCTAGCTTATTTGTCTCGGAAGTAAAATATTGGTCAGGTATAATTATAATTACACAATATAAACAAAAATAATTATTATCCTATAGAGCTATATAAAATAGTGGAAGATTTTCTATATTCTGTGATGACCTATATGCTTGATTCATCGAATAAGTAATCATAATAATCAATGGATAAATATTCATCAAATAGTTAATCATTAATAAAAACATTTTTGGAACTAATATTTATGCACCACACACATTACAAATTAGTTTTTGGAGTTATTTAACATTTTTTTTTTTACATTTTACACAGAGAACATTGATATATTTATAATATTTTCTTTGTGGAATAACAATAATTTTTATTATCGTAAATAAAATTTAGTAAATTGTTTTTATCATGGTTAATTATTACGTTGTTTTCAAGTTAATTTTTTCCGTTTTGTTAAATATACTTCCACTTATCCTTAAAGCTTGATAGACCAACATTATTAATCCCAATTGGGGTGTTGGATTACTTTACTAAGACCCTATTGTACATATAAATCTGCTCCCTGTGTATATATTTAAATAAAAGTACTATTTATACTGTTCTGAATGATACTATATATAAACATGCATCCTATAAAATTTAATTGCTAACGTGTGACTATTAAGGCTTAAAGACTTATTGCAAAAAGTCGTTTAGAGCATTTAATGAAATTAAATCACTTAGCACTTTGATATTTTCTGTTGTGGATTGTGCATTTTGTATAACTATTTTTGATATATTTAAAAGGTGTCATTTGGCGCTCTTGTTTTTTAATCAATTCAAAATTCATTGAAACTTATTCATGGTCTAGTTCGATTGAAAATTTACATTCATTGATGTTTCACTATAAAAATAAATCAACGATATGGTGTTACTTTTATCAAAGTTAAATTCTCTCAATTATTATGGAATGGCCACGTTGCTATGATAAATCCATAGAAAACCACATCTAAAGTCCTATGGGAGAAATTATTTGGAGCATGGAAAGTTGGATGCCCTAGACTCCGACGGGAAAACTGTGTTATTACTGAAGCATTTTCTATGCTTAGCATTCGTAACTGGAAGGAAGTAGTATGAAATAGAGATGACTGATAGTCAATGCTGGAGCAGGATAAGACTCAACATGTAGGATGTAGAGCCATATAATAAATAATTAAAGAATTGATGGTAAGGTTTAGCAAAGAGAGAGGAACATCTCCATTGAACCCATTAAAACTTAAATATATAATTTCTGACCTTATGCACTCCTCTCATCTATCTCTTGAACTCCAATAACTGTTCTGCACTTAGTATTGATTTCTTTTGTTTTTCCAGTTCTATCATGATATAAATTCTAATGATCATAATTTTAGAATTTCTGTTCATCGAGGACCACATTTATCTTAATTTAGTTCTTTTCTTAGAGAATCTGATAATTTCAAGTCCCTTAGAGACTGGAGGTTGAAGTATTCTTTGAGACGATAATATAATAAAATGTTACTCAAGAAAAAAAAAAAAAGGTTTATGTAGCAATTAAGACATATTGAATTACAGCCATCTTGGATACCTAGTTATTCTCTAACTGGTTAACTTAATGATTTTACTGTTAGTACAATAATATATTTCATAATCACTAATCATATTATTATGTTAGTAAGATGATTTATTATTGAAGGTTAAAATCTTTTGCTTTCTCTGTATTGTTTTTAATATTAATGCTTTTACTTGTTTTCAGCTGTGTACATCTTTAGAGCTTACACCTTCACAATTTATTTCTATGAAGACTTACTTCATACTTGTAAGTAGTTTATTCATACTAGTAATTCATATATTTATCTCCCCTTGTTGCTGTTTTCACTTCTATCATGTATTCTAATGTACAAACTTTAGTTGTTGTTTTATTTTTAGTTTTTTTTTTAAGTATGAATATGATTCCTCATATTAATTGATCAGATATATTCTATTTCTCAAGTCTAAAGAGAATTCAAGTAAAAAGAAATTGAAAAAAAATATGTATATATTTTTAATGTTCAATCTTATTATTTATTCTATTACAAGTCGCTACATATTTTCATTTTCATTAATGAAGTTTATTTTTATTTTATTGTAATTTTTATACTAAATTTGAATTAATTTTAGATTATATATCGAATAAATAATATTGAAATTAACATTTATTAATTGGAATACATGATAAAAACAATTTCGATAAAATTAAACTATTATTTAGTACGTATATTGGACAATGTTATACATGAAATGATGAATGAATTAGAAATCCACGTGACGTCGTGGTAGGTGTTTGTTTTTGAATAGACAGTGCAGAGCCCCTTTTCTATTGTGTCGTACGATTCCAACGTGTCCAATGTAACCACGGACTAAGTGTGAAAGTTCATGGGTAATTTCCAGGTCAGCCATCAACATCGATTGTAAGGCCAAGTGGCTATTGAAAGAAGACTAGGCTCTTTGTTTGGTGGCATCAGAAGGTGGCTTTCGGGCTGAAATCCTTTCCCCTCCCAAATGGCAAAATATAAACATGTCTTGTGAAAAAAATATTTAATAATTACTTGTAAAAGTATTATTGTTCGTGTAATTACATTTAATATTACTTAAAGAATCACTTAAACTCTATTTTATATAGGCAGTTAGTTACTTTCTTTACCTTCTTAAGTAATTATTGTTATATATATTTTTTTTAAAATCTTTCTGGCTGAAGTTCCTCCCCTCCTCCCCCAACACTAAATCCTGGATCCGCTGGTGGTCAGAAGGGTGTGATCTATTATGAGCTGGTAAAGCCATTAATACTGAACACTATTAATAACATAAAATGATTTGCTGGTATTGCAAATAAAAAAAATACCAGAATATAAAAAAAGACAACCCAAAGTGGTTTTCCTTCATAATACAATATCATATATCATTCAGTTGGGAATTATTAGCTCATGCGGAAGCTTACATACCAGACTTGGCTCCATCTGGCTACTATGTCCTTCGCGCTCGCTCAGCAACATTTCATTTCTTATTAAAATGGCTTTATGTCTAGTTCATCACAAAAGAGCAACAATTTTTCTGCTGTGGCATTCAAATATTACCAAAGAAATGAGAAAGATTTATAACTAACAATTGACAATATTTTGGATAAAATGTTTTTTAACATTTGTATGCAATCAGCATGTATTTTCTTTTCAAAAAATCCTTCCTGTTTCATTTTTACACACGTGGTATTACTTTTAGGCCACCTTTAATCTAAATGAAAAAGAATCCTTTGTCTGAATCTGAATATCTAGATTTATTTTATTTTGTTTATTTTTTTCAGAATCCACAAGCCAAAAGTGAGTCTGCTGCCGAAAAACTTATTCAAAACCATATCAGATCCAATGGATGGGTTCTGCGGTTCAGCTGAAATTTATTTGTATTCAAAGTTACTCGTCTTCTACTATTTTAGTCTTATTGATGTTGACTTGTAAATTGCCTGACTGAATCAGACTTAGTGTTTGCTGTTATAAACTATTTTTAAAAGGTTATTGTATGTAACAATATGTGTATATAAAATGTAAATGTTTAAAAAAAAATGTGATAGACATATGAATGTATTTATTTTAGAATGCAATCGCAAAGAAGTATTTTATTTTTATTTAATTTTTTTCTTTTATATTTCCCATGTTCATCTTTTTTTCTTTTTTTTTTTTTTTTTTTTTGTTACCTTATATAGTTTAAAGTATAGTTTGCTTTCCTTCATGATTCATTCTTATTTGCCCCTGAGATTTAAAAGGACTTATCGCCAAGGACTGCGGAGCATGAGTCTAAAAAGTAACCATGGATTGGTCCTTTTATTTCTTATATAACTAATTAAATTATTGTTTATAATGATTGCTGTTTTATAAAACAGGTTATGCACTTTTGTATTAAAAGTATTATTTAAATAATATTTTCTATTTCTATACTAACTATAACATATTGTAATGAGTTTTGTTATGTTATGATTCCCTCCTGGGTTATTGAGGAGACGTTAGTTTTAGTTGTCTCTTTATTTATTTAATACTTATTGTTTTTTTTATATTCTTCAAATTATTAGCTTATATTTGTTTGTTGAGGATAGAGGAAATTTGATCTCTTTTCCTATTTAACTTATATTTTCATTTTTTTTTTATTATTGGCTTATAGAATATCATAAGTCAATACTTTTAAATATTGCTGTATTATAAAAAGTGGTTTTAAGATATTTAGGAGGTCAAAATGTGAAACCACATTTCAAGCTACCTCACATATTTTTATTTACTAATTGAAGATGGTAAATAGTAAATTATTATTTTTTAAATTTTTACTTAGAAAAAGATAACTAGTGCTGATTTGTCAGTTAGCCCCATTCCTTCTTTTTAAGTCTATTGTGATAATATTAATTTTTTTGACTTCTTTTGTATAATTTTATTTACTATTTTATAATTGAGCTTTACAACTAAATTTTGCGTTTTAGCAAATTCTAGTTCATGATATGTTCCATTAATTGTATAGATTAATTAATATTTTCTCTATGGAAAGTTGTTTATTGATATCAGACATTTTTTATTATCTGGTGATATTCAAAGAAACTCTAATAAACATGTTGTAATGTTTATTTTATAAAAGAAAATTTAAAAACATGTGCTAATTTGTTTGAACTGTAACAGATAAATGTACATTTATAATAAAGATTAAATATTTATTGATTATGTATTATTATTAGACATTCCTTGGTAATTGTTTTGTAGTTATAACAATATCAAGATTAGATTTCTGATTATTAAACTTCAAACTTATGTTGTTTTGCTTTGTTATACAGTTTCTATAACCAAGTAACATTGGTTATGATTTTTTTTTCAAATAGATTAGTAACTCCAAAACTTCATTTTATTTTAAATCAAGTTGTATACTTAGTTAACTAAAAATTTTGTCTTTTCTCAGTTCTCAACTTTTTTCTACTTTTGGGCACTAACACTAGTGGATCCAGGATTTAATTTTGGGGAAGGCTTCAGCCCGAAAGATTTTTTTTCATGTATATAACGATAATTTTTTTTTTTTATTGATGATATTTACAACTGTATTACAAGTAAAAATACATTCAGTAAATGTGAACCAAAGAATATAATAGCATGAAATCACTTGTTAAGAAACTACCCACTAGTAGCACTCTAAAAATGTATTTACAAAAGGAGATCTCGAGGCCATCTTCTTTTCAGATGCCTCGGAGGGTACAATAATTAATTTGAAAAAAAAAAGAAGAAAGAAATTAACTACCTATATGAAATGGTGTTTAAGTGATTCTTGAAGCCCTATTAAATTGTAATTACAGGAACAATAATACTTAAAGAGATAGTTTTTAATATTTTTTTCTATAAAACATGGTTATATTTTACCGTTTTGGGGGAGAGGAGCTTCAGCCAGAAACACCCCCCCCCCTCATAAATCTGCCTGTGGGCACTAATCATAGGGTAATAATCAAGGGATATGATGTTTAAATTAAAGTTTTATTATCTAATTTTGAATGCTTCTGCCAACAGGGAAAAAACTCTTTTCCATAAAGGGTTTCTGTATTCCTCATTGTCTTTTCTGAATCTGTATTTATTGGTGTTGGCCTAACCTGCTCATTAATAGGTAATTACTACTAAGATATAAATATTAAACTATCCAAGTCTAAAGAAAATGTGACCTGTGAACATTTTTTTCTGACTTGTCCCCTATTTTTCACTAAAATGACTAGTGAAAAATGGGTTGTTTTCTTACATAAATTTCAGATTTACTTATATGTGTATTCCAAATAGTGAAGAATAAATTAAAAAAAAGATTGGTTCTAATTGAATTGGAATTAAGAAAGTAACTAGCATTTTTTTTAAATAATAAAAACAGTAGTTTTTAAAATTAAATACAAATAAAAAATGCTAATTTTATTATCCTTCACCACCTTCTAAGAGTTAATCAAATTAAATTTAAAGAGGAAGGAAGCATTGTGACGGAAGGAGTGTAATAACTATTTCAACTAGATTGTGATGTTGGGAGATATGGAAATCCCTGGAACTGCTCTATAAAAGCTGTTCCCGAGTATATTATGTCCCCTTTCTGGACACCTCTAGGTTAGCATATGATAATAAATACCAAGTTTCATTGTTAAAGGGTCGTATCCAGTCAGTGATCTGATTGAAAAGTGTTGAATTTGAATTAAAATATTTTAAGCCAATCAGCTTATGAATTATTGACAGGGATGCCTAGAAGGGGATTTCATGGTGCAAATTGCGCCATCAAAATTTTTGAGGGAGCACATTTCAACAGGATAATGATTTTTCAGATTGAAAAACTTTAAATCCAGGAAACAAGGAGGAAAACATGGACCAGACCCACTGTAAGTGTATTTGAATATGATCTTCGATTTTTCTAATTCTAATTTCACTTGTACAGTTTCTAAAAAGGGGGGAGCAAAAACATTTCTTGGGAGGGAGAGGAAGTTCATGTGCCATCGACTTTGGGGAGGGGAGGGGAGAGGATGGGCATGCCTGATTACTGGTAGCATTATTTTTGTATTAGAAGCATGGGTTACTTGATATTTTTGCAAGATCATTTGTATTTAAATATTCTTTTCATTTGGATCTAAGGGAGCAGCATTGAGGCACTTGGAGTTTGGCTGTGGCAGGTAATTTATTCTGTTACATTGGCAGTTGGTATGGTGACCCTCCTGAGCCTCTATAAAATGGTATTCTTAATTAAACAATTAATTAATAGGGAAAACTTGGAGGTTGAGCGTGATCTTGGTCAAATTACCTCCTTGCACTACCATGGATCAAGAAACGGTACTTGAAACCAACACCTTGCATAATTTGTAGTAATACTGGTTCATCATTTGGATCTAATAAATGGCAAAAATGTAATGGTCTTTCGAGATGCTGGTGCTCACAGGCTGCGGATCTCTTTATCTTAGATAGCGCTGAGTGCGAACGGAGGAACCGGAAACGTGGGCAGGACTTCCTGTTGCCAGATAGCGCATGCTCTACAAATAGCCTTAGGGGACCTACTTTAATGGCTGTTCCCCGTTCTTGTCAAGTTGTGCCAATGTTTTTTGCGTCGTGAAAATGGGTCTTACAATATTATTGCAGGATTGTCCTTTCAATACGAGACGAACTTCACTAGATATTCTTCTAAAAAAAAAAAGTCTGAATAAGTTGTCGCTCTGTTCGAAATCGGTGCTAAGAAAATGGTGGAGGGTGGTACACGAAGGAGCACTTCACCATGGAGCATGAGAAAAATCAAAACTTTTGGTCAAGTAAAAAATACTTCCTTGAATGTTTTCAACTTAATCCAGTCAATAAAATGAGTAAATATCTTAAAATTATGGGTCATTATCCCATTTCGTATGAATTTCCAGATTCCAATCTAAAAATAATCTGGTGCGCGCAACACAAAACTTTCACTTGCTGCCCTGCTTCAAAAAGCAATTCTTTTCTGGCAAAATTGGGCTATTACAAAACGTTTTTGAAGCGCATTTTTAATGGAGCTAAACCTTGAACAATATATTTTTGAAATTTGGTCATATTCGTCAATATAACTCATTAAAACCATCAAAATAACATAAACTCTATTTATTATATCCATTGTAGGCAATAAAAAACATTGATGGAAGACGGTAAAGAACTAGGGCTCAAAATAAACACGTATAAGATAAATAGATAGATAGAAAAAAAAACTTTATTCTGGGACTAAGTCCCTTCAGAATAACAATAATGTACAAAATAATAGAATATTACTGGCCTGAACGTTGAAACAATAAATAAAATTGATAAAATAAAATAAAAAGTAAAGAAAACCTTAGGTGCACAAGCTATATACAATACAGATAAAACTATGTACAGAGCATTTAAAATTATGAACAAAACAATTAAAACTATGAACGAATCACTTGAACTATGAACAAAATTATATTTAAGGGTTGAACAACATAAACATACACTTTGAGAAATGAAGAACGAAAAAGAGATACAATGAGTTCATTTCATAAAAAAAAAAAAAAAAAAAAACTTTACTTGAATATATATATAAAAATAAACAGTTACTTATAATTGAATAAAAAAAAAATAAAAAAAATGTATGTATTGAAATTCCTACGTCGATAGTAGGAAATGCATGTACTATCTCTTACCAAGTGTTATGATTATATGATTGCTACACAATACATATATAATATTAATAGTTAGCTGGTATCTGACTGTTTTTGGAACAGGAATTGGAATAGGAGGTTTTTGAATGTGTACAGGGAAGGGGCATGTCGAATTTTGATCGGGAGGGAATTCCAAAAGTTGACAGAGCGGGCTATAAAGGAATTTTGGAATGAGGCAGATCTATGAGAAGGGATGTATAGGTCAGAGGGTCGGGATCTTGTAGTGAGTGAATGGATTGAGGACTTAAATTGGAGAAGGTTGTAGGCATAAGAAGGACGATGATCGGTAATGATTTGATAAAGGAAAGTGCCAAGGAAATATTGTCTTCTTAAGGAGGGGAAGAGCCACCCTAACTCAGTGTAGTGGTGGGAGACACGGGAGCGTCTCGGGGTTCCAATTACAAATCTTACGAAGCAATTCATAAGTCTTTTGAGTCTATCACGCAGTTCCACCGAGAGGCCATCGTACACCACACAGCTGTAGTCAAAGTGGGGAAAGATGAGAGAGGAAACTATGAGTCTACGGGTATTTTGGGGTAGAAGATGGCGGAAGTGATGGAATAGTTTGAGGGTAGAAATTGCACGGCGGGATATATGAGAGATATGGTGATTCCAGGAAAGGGTTTGGATAGAAGGTGATGGGGTGGTTGTTTATATAGAGTGAGGGAAAGTTGGTGTGGGATCTAAGGAGGGGCTTGGAACCAATGAGAATATATGGTTAGTTGCAAAAATGGCGATATTGCCGGTTATGTCGATATAGAAGGTAATATGTTTAGATATTATTCTAAACATATTAGATATAGAGAAGTTTAGGTACCTAGCACTAGCTGATCCAGCGGAGGTCTTCACCCTTTTTCTTCATATATATGACGATAGTTAATTTAAAAAAAAAAAAAAAAGGAACCTACTACCTATATAACATGGTGTTTAAGTGATTCTTGAAATCCTATTAAATGTAATTACTCGAAAAATAATACTTTAAGAGATAGTTTTTAATATTTTTTTCTATAAAACATGGTTATATTTTACCATTTTGGGGGAAGGCTTCAGCCCGAAAGTCCCTCCCCCCGCAGATCCGTCTGCGGTACCTAGGGTTTACGATAACTAGAAAGAACGAAATTGAAGAGGAGATTAAGGTTAGACTGTAGGCAGGAAATGCTTGTTATTTTTCTGTGACAAAACTACTTAGCTCGCGCCTCTTGTCCCGGAATATAAAAACTATAATCTACAAAACCATTATCTTACCTTCAGTTCTTTATGGATGCGAAACGTGGCTAACATTGAGGGAAGAGCAACGTCTCAAGGTTTTTGTAAATAAAGTATTGAGTAAAGTATTCGGACCGAAGAAGGATGAGTTAACCTGAGAGTTTAGACGGTTACACAACGTCGAACTGCGTGAACTTTATCCAGTTAATATAATTGAGGTGAATACTTCGCGGCGAATCAAATAGGCTTGTAAAATTTTTGGGTTTAAAAACGAAAAATAGTTCCTAAAAGGTTAATACTTGCAGTACCGAATGGTAAAAG